TGTACCCCTAACCCCTAGTACCTCAGAATGTGACCTCATTTGGAGATGGGACCTTTACAGACATGGTGAAGTTAAGATGAGGTCATTAGGATGAGCCTACTCCCATATGACTGCGCTCTTACTAGGAGAAGGAAATTGGACACAGAAATGCACACGGGGAGAACGCCATGTGAAGGCTGAGATCGGGATGATGCGTCTGCAATTCAGGGAGCACCCGAGATGATCAGTAAACCCCCAGAAGCCAGGGGAGAGGTGTGGAGCGGACCCTACCTTACAGCTGTCAGAAGGAACCCGCCCTGCAGCACCTTCCTGTTGGTTGTCGGGCCTTGCCCATGACACCTCAGTTTCCTCCCCTCATCATTTTTTTGACCTAACAGAGAATTTAAAAAAAAATTTAGCTAGGCACAGTGGCTCATGCCTCTAATCCCAGCACTTTGGGAGGCCGAGGTAGGTGGATCACTTGAGGTCAGGAGTTCAAGACTAGCCTGGCCAATGTAGTGAAACCCTTTCTCTACTAAAAATACAAAAATTAGCCAGGCGTAGTGTCGCATGCCTGTAATCCCAGCTGCTCAGGAGGCTGAAGTGGGGGAATCGCTTGAACCTGAAAGGCAGAGGTTACAATGAGCCACTGCACTCCAGCCTGAGTGACAGGGTGAAATTCCGGCTCAAAAAAAAAAAAATTAATTAATCAACAAGGAATAACTCCATTGGTCTCTAATAATGAGACAGAGGGGGAAGAAACTTCATCCAACTATTCAGGAAGATTAAGCCATTCTGAACTGTTAGGAGTAGAAGTGAGCGTGTTCTCGTCCAAGACATTTGGAAAATGTCTGTTATTCTCTGAAGTGAATGGATCTGAATTCAGAAATTCTGAGAGAAAAAAATGAAAGTGTGAAATATGGCTCCTTCACTGCATTGGTTCTTCTCTGAATGAAGTTTCTTTTCATTCAGAAAAATATTTATTGAACACCTACCACGTACTGGACACTGAGCTAGGCCCTGGGTGTACAGTGGAGAGCCAGATGAGGTCCCTGCCCTCGTGGAGTTCACATTCTAATGGAGAAGGTAGATAATGAACAACTAAATTTATAACCTCAGGTGGTAGTAAGTGCTGAAGAAAATACACCATGGAATAGTATGGAGCCATAAAAAATAACAAAATCCTGTCCTCTGCAGCAACACGGAGGCAGCTGGAGGACATTATCCTGAGCAAATTATTCTCAATTCTATCGGAACGTTCTTTTTTAAATCTGAGTCCTGGTGGCTGTATTCAAAGTCCATCCCCTCTTCTCCAAGCCTAGCAGAGATGGAGATGAACTGTATCCCACCTTCCTTGTCACAGCCGTTCATGCCTTCAAAGATCTTCCCATCTTTTCAACATTCATTCCTCAAGGCTGAATAGTGCCCATTCTTGTCTCTGCTGGTAGGGATGGAGAGGAGAGTTCCTCCGGCCCAGTGAAATCACCCAGTGCAGTGCCCTGCCACATAAGGAAATTCTCAGAATATTCTTTATAGAATGGGTTATTCAGAGCTAGACAAACAGCTCTCTTGAACCCGTGGAGGGTGAAGGGCAGCCAGTTCTATTTCAGGCTTTCTCCTCTGGCCTGTCAGATGTGCTGAAGACAGGAATGAGGCTGTTTTCCAGAGTTCTCCAGTCCAGCAGAGGCCCCCGGCACCCCTTGCTGCCAGGAGAGCACACCTCCCCACCGCCATCCCAAAGAGGTGGATCTTCCAAAGGCTACCAGACAAGGACATTTTATATTTCTGACACTAGGATGATTTTCCTATTTCATGGATGGCAAAACCAAGGCACGAAGAGGTCAAGTGCTTTGGCTCTGTTGATGAAAGCAGCCTGAGCATGGCATGGTGAACTCAGAGGAGCCTGGTCAAGAGTTCCAATTCATGGCTGAGCGGCTGAGCACAGTGGCTCATGCCTGTAATCCCAGCACTTTGGGAGGCCACAATGGGTGGATCACCTGAGGTCAGGAGCTCAAGACCAACCTGGCCAACATGGCGAAACCCTGTCTCTACTAAAAATACAAAAATTAGGTGGGCATGGTGGTGTGTGCCTATAGTCCCAGCTACTCAGGAAGCTGAGGCAGAAGAATTGTTTGAACCCGGGA